ATGAAGTTTTGTCTAAACAGCCATTGGTAGAAGTATGGAGTAGAAGAAAGAAACTGGCAGTCGATATGGGACTTTCGGTGTAACTGAGCGAAATATATGCTTCCTCTATAGGCATCCTCCCACCTGTCATCATCCCAGCAGGTGCAGAATGTTTGAAAACCGAGTCACGCAGGAACTGTTTCAGTTCTAAATGCGAGACGAACTAGGACATTATTGGATCGGTGTTTGTGAGCAGGCAAAGAGGTTCTCCTTTATTCTCATCCGCACGGTGCGTTAAAACCTTGATGCGCTTCATGCGCTCACTGGATACCCGACTTCTCTAGTTAGCAACACGCGCAGTAGTAATAAGCAATGCGGAAGAACCTAACCTGTACAAGAAATTTTGCATGGAAATCTGCCAGCATTTATGCTGGGTTCAAACTGCAGCCGATGATGGCGCATACGGTAGAGGTCTTGAGAAAGTTCCGTCCATTTCTTCTTGTTAAACACCGATGCTTTTCGTATATGTCCTCTTGTATGTTCTCTGGTTCAACGGCTTCCGTCAGACGGTTGGTTTCCGTTTCCCAGCGAGTTCAATCTGGCGATCAATGCCAATTGCGTTATCGCAAGTTAATACTTTTGTACTGTTATAATTTCTTAGCCCCACATGGTTTGACCTTTTCATTTCCACAGACCGAATTTCTACACATGTGGCATGACTGCAAGCGCTATTGACATGGATATTGTTTATGGATTTCCTATATGTGAGAGAGCGTCCTGTGGGATTTGCTATCTTTTCATCTTCCTTGTTAACACCCTGTGTAACTTGATCGATACTTTTTTCATACACGTGATTGCTCCGATGACGCCAGTAGTAGAATAGTGCATAGATAGCTAGGGTACAAAGATGAGTATGGTGATCTTGTTCTTATAGCGGTGTATGCTCTAGGCTAGGAATGGGGACCACGTGATCTCAGTATTCTACCTAAACGTAGTGTGAAAAGCATAGACGAGAAGGCGGGGTTGGTCACGGGTATGAGGTATTCATTTACTCAATAACTACGAAAGCAGCTTCGCTGTTGCTGTTATAACATAAATAAATAATTTTTTAAATCCCTTATACATATTAAAGTACATCGCATAAAATACATCCAAACCTTCTACTTATGGAAACAGAAGTTTTTTCTCGAAGATCGAAAGAAATCCTCAGAATTGTTAGGCATCAGTTTTGTTCAGCTCGGGTGTTTCTATTTTTGTGTTGAACATTCAGGTGCTCGATTAAAATTTGCAAATTATTTAACCATTGTGAGATACACAGGAAGTCACAAATATCTTACGATTTACCTCTCAACCGCAGTAAAAGTATGTCACATTAGCTAAAGACCTTTGCTTTTCCGCTGATGTTATTAATCTACCTATTTTAGCAGGTAATAAGCGCTCCAATTTGTAATGTCACCCTTAAAAAGTACCTCAGTGTCTACATTTCAACCTCGCTTACAATGAGTATATGCTTCTTCAGCGCAGTAAAGCTGCCAATGTCATATTTCTCGGTATGAAACTTCGTAGATGCCGACCTGAAGTCTTCGCAAAAGCTGAAAAAGGCTTTACTTGTACCCATGTTATTCTGCTGCTCCTCTACGTCGTTCCCGTAATTTTCTTCTCTGCAGATTGGAGATTTTGGGCGGCTCACTTTAAGCTGCTGGATCATCTCATCAACATTCCTTGAAAGGAATTCAAATAAGTTTTAATTAACTGCATGACAAGAGTATCTCTTCATTTTTTTCACTGTATATTATTAAATCAAGAGTATCTTCTTTCAGACCTCTTGGAGTGTTCCACCTCACGTGGTATCTTTATCCGTTTTTTGATTTTTCAGCAAATTCATTCGCATAAAGGTTTTTATGAAAGAGACCTAAACCTTTAACAAATTAAAGTATCATTCCTGACTAATTTGGCCACTGATGTTTAAAAGATTATTTCTGATGCGCAAAATTTCTTTTTCCGTTTATGCAATGCTTTGGTCGTATTACGCGTGTATGATAAGTTTGGTGATAACCAGGTTAAGCCTATTGATTTATGTGTCAGAGCAACAAAGATTCTTATTCTGTATTTATCACTTACTATGAAGCAGACAGAAGTCTTGGCTTTTATTAGAATTTCTTTGCTGCCCGTTGCGAAACTTGCATTGCACTGCTGACAGTGATGATCACGTGAATGACAGAATCAATTCGAAGCCTAGAAGAGCGACTCAGGGCTAGAACAAAAATTTAGTAGCCATGGTCCTAATTGATTTGCTTGTCTTGTCGTTGATTACAACTATTGTTGATCTGAAGCATAGAAACCGGAAGGCTGGTAGTCAGTTTGCTTTTCTTATTAATTTTCTTGGTCCTCAGCTGGCCTTAGTTATTTGCTGCCGATTCTGCAGCTCATTTTCAGTCATAATCAGAGACGAGGAAAATAAGGTTGCTCGAAGTTGCATGCAACCTGCGTAATCGTTTCGGCAGTGACCAAAAGTACACCACTGCCGTTTTGCATGGCTGAAGTATTTGTGTGCAACAATGGCATTCTATAGGCATACTTTAAGAGCGAACCGGTGGCGTTGAGGCGTCACGCGTTGAGACGCAGGTGGCTTTGGGCGCCCAATTCGTCAGTTCGTCGCTGCTCATAATCCGGTATGCCCTGGACCACGGTCGTCGTCCGTAGGCTAGGCGAACGACACATGTTGTTTGGACGCATAGCCCTGCTACTCGCTGGCGATACTTCATAAAAGCCAGGAGCCGCGACACGCACCATAGTCCACAGGCCAGGCCTCGGGGATGAAAGTCAACGAATGGAGGAACGTTGTGTGTACGCAAATAGCAGCGCTTGGCAGACGATCGACCTGGCCGCCGTTTGTTGTCACCATCGGTAATCATTACTGTAAGCCGGCAGAATCGGAACAGCAAACAAATCTTTGCATTAATTGGCGTCACTGCCAGACAGGCCAGTTGCAATAGATTGTACGGCAACAGAATTCAGACGCCATTCTGCTAGGATAAGGCTAGAAAACGATGACGCCGCCTCACGCTATAACCGTCATATAATAAAGCCATTACCTACTTGCCTAATTTCTGGAAAAAGTGGATATGATAAATCGTCAATGATGATCTCATAGCTGTGAAAGACTACATCGGGGTTGTCTGTTCAAAAGTCAGTGGAGGCAAAAATATACTTCAGTATCAAATGTTACACCCTTTTTTAAAAATGCGATACCATGTGTGATTTTTTATGAATTCACGATTTGAGACACAAGTAAATTAAAATTATTTTTTCAAGCCGTGAGAAACTGTAAAAGAAACTGTACAAAAACATTAATATTCGAACTCCTGAATACTGTAATTGCCGTGAAACTCTCAAAGTCAGGTTTAAAGGCGTATTGTCATGCAATGTGTTCCTAGTTGCCTAGAGGGGTCACCATAGCAGGCAAGGGCTCAATGGTGTTTAACCACTTGTTATGTTAACGAATCCTGCAACAAATTTTTCGTTAAAGTGATCCCATGTTCATCATTAACACAGTGCAAACCAATACCCTGATGTTTTGCGGTAGCTCATAAGGAGCACGGACTTTTGCAACATCGTTCGTAATCAGCTAAGGTTCCTCTTGTGAAGAAAATGATGCAAGATGCATTCTATCCTGCAGGTGGTCAAATGCCACCAATGCTTGGTCAGATTCAATACCCTACCCCCCCCCCTAAGAGAAACTACGAGCAAACAGACAGTACGATACACCCTACAACTTGGTTTTCAGAAATTATGCACCAAAAAGCCATAATTTATGAATTCAGACACCTGATTAAGCGGAAGTTTGGGCAAGTTCTTAGTTCAGATTTATCACTGGTTTTCAAAGGGGCTTAAATGGGTGCCTTCAAGATGGAAGTTCTTCAACGGTTAAGAGCTGCACACACTTGATGCCTCACGAAAATGTTAAAAGTCGCTGTATGTGATGAATGTCATGTCAAATCTCAAATTTTGTCTTTTGCAAACGACAGATGCGACTAAGTTGGTAAATCAAGTATGCAGAACGTAAATTTTTTTTTAATTGCTCGTAATCAGTCAGAACTCTTCGAACTCCGAGTCTCCAGCATCCCTCATTCAATACCATTTTTAAGCTTTGACAGAAGATAACTGGAGTCTGTAGCAGAGTCCATCAAGGCACTTGCCCAAGGTCACCTTGGCTCTATTCAGGATTTTGGGCCGACTGGACGAGCAGGTTGTTCTTGCTCCTCTGCCTTCCTTTCTGGAAACATTTCAGAGATATGTGGTTTTAAGGGGTACTGTTACAGAAGTATTGGGAAAGGCTAAACCAATGATTTTGTTTGGGCCATTTAACACTCAATGCCTATTATTAAAGACATACATTAGAAAGGAACCTAAGGTCATGCGATCACGCCATGAGAAAAATATATTTACTACTCGGAGCAAATGATGCTACATGATTTCATCTTTGAACCGAGAGTCTGACGCCTGGCTAACTACATAATACAAAAGATCGGTTAGACATGATTTAAACATCGAGAATCACACATATTCAGGAGAGGTTGCATAAGGTAAATAGTCCACTTGTGTACCTTGGAGCAGAAAATGACAGCCGATGAGGATTTGAAACAGAATGAATAAATCCTTTCATCGACTGCTGATAAATCTTCATGACCACCCAAACAGATAGTATGATGAACGCGTCTGAAGATCATGTGGAACGGTAGCGTTATAAAAGACACTTTATGACAAATGCTGATCTCATACGGTGGAGAAAAACGGGAGGTGCTCAGGGACAAAAGATCTGATTAGCCATCTGCAGGAAAACAGCCATTTCTCGTGTCTCATCGGTTGCATGAATAGGAGTCGAGACGAGCTTTATGAAGGGTAATTGGCCGGCGTATTACATGACGAAGGAAATAAAACGGTGATATGCTGTCGAGGAGCTATCTTTATTTCGTGCATTCGATGCCTCATTATTAATGTCGAAATGTGATGCCTTTAGTTTAGCTAACACTATGAATCTCAAGCATCCTGTGCTCTGAAAAGCAACGAAACGAACACGCGTCAAAAAGCACGAAAATAATAAACTGTTCCACAACTGCGTACTGTTACTGCCTTAAGCTGAAAGCAAGCTTATCCCTCAGAGTGCCAACATACCAAAAACAGTGAAACTGGATGATGCAAGAAAAAGTTGTATTCATAAATAGACTGCTCCTTGTCCATTGCATTTTTCTCACAGCGACAGTTTTATTTGATCTCATCCAAAAAGAATAATTTCAATATTTTTATATTAATGCATTATGAAGATACATTTGGAAATTTAGAATCATTTCTCTGTTTCTTTAGGCAGGCTCCATGGCTTTAAATGATACACGAAACAAACCCAATAAAACTAGGCCTAATTCCAACAAAGAGCATGAAATTTCGTTAATGCACCTTCAAGAAATGGAAGGTAGATGAAGTGCTTTAAAATTCGGTTCTGTCAATTTTAATGACTTCATACCCTTATGGGTTGCGGTTGCAGATGTATCAGTCGATATCTCCAACGTTACTGATCATTTGTCAGGAGCTTGAGATTTCGCAGATGATAAACGGAATCTGCTATCAAATCTGTCGCTTACTCTGGATCATTCTTGTTTTTCTCTAGCACCGTCTACCGAGCAATCAAGCAAGTAGTAGCTACTTCGCCTTCCATCCTGAAGGCATTCGCATCAGAGCATCGTGCGTGCTACTTTTTAATCTGGAAGAGGAACGGCTGTATAAACCGGATTACTCTTGGATATCTGAACCGTGGAACATGTCGAAACGCGTGAGCCCAGCGATTCGTCTCTGGAAGCCATTTCAGCCGCTTTTTCAGGCATCGCAGCGTTTCAGTTATGGCCCATGATACCTGATCATAGGTGACTATGAGAATTGCAGTGCATTTAAACAGAGGCTGCTACGTCTTCAGAATCGACTCTGTTTCAGTCAAAACAATTGTTCAGCAAATCAGCACATTTATAATATCTTACCACTGTCTATCAGGTTCAAGGAAGCGAATTTTATCAGAAGGCTGGACGAAGTTGGCGTCGAAAGCCGACAGCTTTCATTTCATTTTTGCCGTAAGGCCACGTTACAAATCTATCTCATGGCAAGCGTTTCTCTTAAATGGTACTTGGCTCAGCATGAAGAGACCAAGAAGAAGATTAAAAGCTTTTTTTGGTTCTCTGGATGATGTCGGATGCAAAATGAGTCATCGGTAATCTGTATCATCAGAATCTGTTATCGAAAAGAGAGTAAAAGTTCGTGGTGTCGAAAATGTTATTCCCATTAATGTAAGTTAGTTAAATTCACGCTGTCTAAAATGATAGAGTTTAAAATTATTTACCGGTACTGTTTGGCATTCCTTCGCACAGTAGCCTCTTAGCATCTGTAAACATTCTTAATTGTTAGAATTAAAATCCACCATTGTTTAAATATATTGGCAGAACAGTGATTTTCATGAAGTGCACTGATTACGGAACAGTACAGCACTCTCATCGCCCAAGACTACGGTATGTTAGTGCATTGGAATAGTTGTATAACTTTGCTCAATTATCATTCTTTCGACAGATGACTCTGTACAATTCAATTTTACCCTGCAAAGTTTATGTTATACTAAAAAATGGAATCCTGCGGTATTTTCTTTCAAATAGTACAAAATTCCTTCATTCATTTACTCATTCGATTATTTATCCTTTCGTTCGTTCATTCAGTAGTTTTAATGCTGCTGCCATCTGTTCATTCTTATTTGTGGAGGTGATGGCTTAGCTGTAAAAATCGAAGACTTGAGGAAACTAGTCTTATTCGATCGCTGGTGTTTGCCAATCATCTCTTGAGTACGGTTTATTGATCACATATTCAACGCCACAATCCGTGTCCGTTGCGAACTCATCCAACTCTTTGCTGTTCTGCAAAGAACTTCGATATCATCTGTGGGGAAAGTGCTAAGACGTCCATCAGACAACGCAACATCCACGGCTAGAGATGTCACCCTAATTCGTATACGGCACCGGAAAAGAAGTGGGCAAATTAAGAGCACGTGGAACACTGTCACAGTTGAAGCTCAGTCATCTCTGGACCAGTATCGTGTGAGGACAAATGATGGAACAAGGACTGGCTGAATGCTGTGGCAGATATTGCACCTGATCGAGAGGACGGAAAGAACAGTTCCTTAACTTCTCTGAAATCAGCTAAAATCACTGACACTGACAGCCGTAAAGGGTGGCAACAGCTCTAACGCTGAGAGGAGGTGATTATTGATGACTTTGCAATGAGTCAGTGTGAACTTCAGAGAATTCTTGAGCGGAAAAGTCATGCTCCCAAGGGCTTCAATGATGACTCAATGATGTCGTTTATCTCTGACGAGTGTGCATAAATATCTTCTAATAATCTGCTTCAATTTTGCCATGGATCAAGGGGTGCTCCGAAAATCTGCAGCTAACTACTCAACACTCGGTTGAGAACGAAATGGCTCTGAAATAACGTTGTCGTGATAAGGGGTTCAAAGATAAACAATTTTACAGCAAGAGTCTTAGAACAATATCCAGAAAGTTACGTTACTTCAGTCCAATTTAAGTTAATCTTTATTTGTCATTCATCGGTTTTTACCGTTATCTGTTCATTTCAGATTATAGGGACAACATCTTTGAGAGGCTCTTAGAGCGGCCTTAATCTTGTGCTAAATGGGCAAATTCAGAGGGCTAAATTCACAAGGGCAAAAATGCCAGATTTTCACTGTACTTAGTAGTGCGCTGTCCATCTTCTTTGATTACGCTAGGAAGGCTTTAAACTTACATCTCAGTTAACCTGTATTTCTATTTCTAGATCATGTATACATTTTGCTTTAATGTTCGAGGCTTCTCGGCTACCCAAGTTATCAATATTGAAATTATTGCGAAACGTACAACAAGCAGTGTTGAACCAAGCACTCTGATGAATGCCTGTTTGGCCACACTTCGAACATAGTTAATCCATCACAACAAATGACAAATCGTACTATGACACTTTCCCTTGGGATTGAAACAGAGACGAAGATCAAGATGATGCTGATTGGGAACAGTGTACAATTAATTTCATATAATCGATTCGAATAGACAGGTAGCTTGTGAAAGGGTATACCTGGCCGTGCCAAATTTTCTTCGAACATGAAACACCATTGATGAATTCCTCTAATCAGAAAACGATGTCTCACAATGACATTCTACACTGTCATGCATAGGACAGAACAGGTGATTAACAGCCGTGTTTGCTATGTAGCCATGTCACCAAAAACACATCCTAAAATCGCATCCCAGTGTGATCATTATGAAAGTTTTAAGGAACTTACGACTCATGGGTAGAGGATCACCGTCTAAGAAAATAATAATTGTACTAATAAGAGTAATCAAATGAGGTTCTGCGAATTATGCTGTAATGGAAACTGTTCTGTTTATGGAACAAATATGCATTAACATTTATATAATTACTTACTGGAGTGACTGCTGAAAATTTTATGCGATGAAAATGTAGATTTGAAGGTTAGCATTAAGGGAGAAGTAGTACAATATGGCGCTAAATGCCGTAAGAAAGAAGATAGGATATGGAACCAAGGTGACTGATTGGTGGCAGGCAAGGATTTTAAGATGGTAGGGTCATTACTGGAGCGAATGGATAATAGTCTCTGCAAAGTAAACACTGAACGTAGTCTCATGACAGGTACTCACAAGCAAGGCCTTCAACATTATAACAAGATCCGTCATAAGCGACATGGGTCTTGTCAAAAGCGTGAAAAGGGTTGAAGGATGAACATACCTTGATTTTATCATGGTAAAATATCTCTTTGAGAAGAGACATCATTTTCTATGCAATAAGAAGATGATAGGAAGAAACTAGCGAACCACTTTTCAATCAAACTCTATATTGAGCCTATGTAGAAAAATTCAGAGGGCAAGGGCAGTCGAACATGATCATCGTATTCAAGATTGGTTTCCAAAAATGGACTGAACTGACGACTAAAAAATTAAATATAAATTAGCATAATAAACGTTAAATAATTGTAACTTAAAAACCGATAAATTCACCGGTTATGCGTCTCATCAACTTCCACATTTTATGTCCTTTAAAAATGCTCATTTCTTACAAATGACAAACATCAAAGAAAAGGCAAGCCACGTGATGAATTTGAATGCGGGTAGTGTACAAACCGAAGCGGTATCCGAAAATGTCAATGAAGGGGGAGACGAAAACGGGAACTGCCCGTAATAGATTCAGCCTAGACTATTATCATACTTCGGAAACTCTTAGCGCTCAGCGAGGTTAAGAAGACGCTTTTAGCGGCGTTGAGCGGCGACGACGTTTGGCGAGGAAGAAGCGCAGCGAAGAGGCTTTGAAGACGGATGGAGTGAACCAGCGTCGAAGAGACGTTCGAGGGC